GTTCAGGCGGAGATGGCTTCATCTTTGCAGCGCATCGAGCGGCTGTCCTGTCGGGTCGTGCGCGTGCTAGGCTGTAACCCGGGTCCTATGACCCTTCAGGGCACCAACACCTACCTGGTGGGGACCGGCCCCAGGTAAACTCCTTCCCACCCCCAACACACACACCTGCTTGCTGGGGGCGTGGGGCTGCGGCTGCTAAGATTGCGCGCCCCAGGCCGATAGGCTATACTTGGGAAGCACGGCGCCCTGCGCCGGGCCGGGCAGCCTCACCTGGCGATACGCAGACTCCCTGATTCTGGACATCTAAATCAAGACTACTCTGGGCGGTAATCTCTGTAACTTACAAAGGGCTAATGGGGGCGAAATAATGGGAACAAAAAAAAAAACTTCTTGTTTTTAAAACTCGATTTACTTTGCTTGGTGTTTGAATGCCAGGGTGACCGACTTAGTGTTGAGAGGTCAGGATCGCCTCGGATTTTTATAAGAGTCTGAGAAAGGGTTTGAATTTGCATTTCTGACAAGTTCCCAGGAGATATTAATGCTGCTAGGTAGGGACCAATTCTGAGAACCACTATGTAAGAATCACTTGGGGATCTTGTTAAAATGTAAATTCCGATTCAGTATATGGGGTGGAAATGCAAATTATCTGCAGGGGTTGAAACCGGAATGAACCGGTTTGAAGTCCTGCTTTGCTCACTCTTGTGTGGCTTGCCCAGAGTATAACTTCGCTTCACAAAATCAGTAACTGTGCTAAGGCGGTTTTTTTGTTTTTGTTTTTTTTAACTCGGCAGCAGATGTCAGGATTTTCTTCAAATTTACTTGAGTTTGTAAATTACAAAGAGGGTCCCTAACCCATTGGAAGGAGGAGGTGACCATGACTAATTTTGTTTTTTGTTAATGCGTGTGGCATTTCGGTATTTTGCAGGAGTAGTAGCCTATCTTTTAGTAGTAACCTATTTCTTAGAAAATATTTTTCCTTTTAATTAGCTGCATTCTGTCTTAGTGGAATTATGCAGAAATGGCGTGGTTTACTGCATAGTATATTTTAGGCATTGAGCAACTTTTGTAAAGTCTTTAGTATACTAGATACCCTAGATAGTAAACAAAAACCCATCACTGGGCAGTCATTCTGACTCATGACAACCTCATGTGTTACAGACTAGAACTGCCCATAGGGCTTTTCTTGACTACAATCTTTATGGAAGCAAATGCCAGGTCTTTCTTCTGCGGTGCCTCGGAGTGGGTTTGAACCGCCAAACTTGAGGTTAGCAGACCAGGGCAAACCATTTGTGCCACCCAGGGCTTCCACCCTAGATAGTACAAAATTAAAATAAGATGTACTTCCTCTTGAGCATAGAATCTAATTGTGCAGTCAAGACATGTTACAATTATTAAACTAGAGTTGATTGCTAAATATCCTTTAATAAGTATAGTTTGTTGATTTTTTGTTTACAGTATCTGTTCTATTTGCCTTTTTCCAGTAAATTAGGATTTTAGAAACACTAGAATGGGAGGGACTTGAAGTACTGCCAAGTCAGCCATGCAAAAGATTAAGTCCAGAGTAATCAGGGCAGGGTCAGGTAGATAGGAGAGCTTTAGGCTGAGTCCGCAATCCAGGAGGATAGAGAGTTAAGCAGAAAAAAAGTGTTTAGCTGGGATCCCCCTTCTCCCTCCCTCAGTAAGGCCACAGGCATCCTTCTTTCTCTTCAGTGTGTTATCTTAAGCTAGTTCTGAAGCCAATGCCAAAGATGAAAATTGCACAGTCAAAATTACCGTGGAAAGTCTCTCTGTGTGTCTCTGTCTGTCTGTCTGTCTGTCTGTCTGTCTGTCTGTCTCTCTCTCTCTCTCTCTCTCAGTGAGTTCAAAACAACCTGCGTTTCTGGCATTTAAACAGATGGCTGGTTCCCTTTGAAAACCAAATGAAGAATTTGGCTTTTATTTAGGGGCCATGTTGTATGAGAAATATGCACTGTATATTTAAACACTAGAGTCACACCCAGCATGGCCAAGTGCTTATGCTTTAGAGACATAAAGGGCCTGAAACTGAGGGAAGAACAGATTCACGGTCTCCCATCTTACACGTCTCTCTGTTGTGAGTCTGTGTAGTTGAGCTAGAATGAGTTAATGTGCAAGCGGTGCTACTCTATAAGTTTAAAAGTCACGCGTTTGGAAGTAAATATTAATTGGGTCCAAGGAGGAGGTTTTGAGATTTGGTATCTACCTGTTTTACTTTATAAAACAGTCTTGAGATGACAAGAGGCTTCCATATCACTAAACCCAATGGCATTTTTTCATTCCTGTCTTACTTGAACTTCAGCATCATTTCGCATTGTTGACCACTCTCTCATTGATTGCTGACACCACATTTTTTCTGTTTCCTCTTACCTTTCTAGCTGCTTGTTCTCATTTTCCTTTATAGAGTCATCCTCTTTACCAGATGTTTAATTGTTTGAGTCCCTCAAGATGCAATCCTAGTCTCCTGTTCTCATGCTTTATTCTCTACCTAGATGATATTGTCTACTTCCTTAGCTTCAGCTATTATCTATTCATTAACAACTCCCGTGTTTCAAACTTGAGCTTCAAACTCGGGTGACCAAACTGCTTATTTAAATCCTTTCTTGGATAACTCATTGTTGGATGAGTCACTAAAATTGTTTTCGGACATGAACTCATGGGCTTTCCCTCTAAGCCTGGCCCTCCTCCAGTTGTCCATGTCTTGGTAAACAGAGCAATCCACACATTTGATCAAGGCAATTGCTCAAGTACTCAAGTACCCTTCCTGAGTTCTTTGCTTCCTACCACACATCCAAGCCGTTGCAAAGATCTCTCCATTTCCACTGCTGTCCCCCAGTCCAAACCAGTGCAACTCTTGCTTACGCTTCTGTAGTAGCTTCATAATTGGCTTCTCTGCATCTACTCTTGTCCCTCTTAAATCCACTCTGCCCTGTGTAGCCATAGTAGTATTTTAAAAATGAAAATTGGAAGGCCTTATATAGTCTGCCCTCACCTGTCACATCAGCCTCATATCAAGCCTCTCCCCTTCCCCCTTGCTTTCAGCACCGCAGCCATACTGGCCATGTTCTGTAGTGCCAAAGGCCTAACGTCACATTTTCACCTGCAGGCAGGCAGCACTGGCATTCTGAAAGATCTGTTTTCTTTGCTACTAGATTTTATCAAATCTTTATATTGATCCTGTTATTTTCCGCTCATAACTTTTAGTCAGCATGGTATGATCTGTCTTTGATTAAAAATAATGATACTTTTATTTAAATTTAGTTTTCTGTTACAAGAAATTTCAATACAGAGTTCCTCAGGAGAAGAGGAGGAAAGGAATTTTTTTTTTTTTTAATTGAGAAGTCTTTCTCTGAAGCATGGAAAGATTCTTCTGAAGGTCCAGGACACCCCCAAAATAGTCTACGTGACAATTAAAGGGCAACAAGAAGTTGTGGGTAGAAAGCACCAAATTACCCAAAATATATGAAAGCAGCTAAAATCTAGGATAGTGGGCTATGGGGTACTGTTGGAAATATTGAAGTGGTAGAGTTCTGTCTATTTTTAACTTAGTAAATGACTAAATGTACACAGTGCCAAACATGGCATGATGTATTGTAGATATGGAGATGACTCCATAAATTTCTTGACCATACAGGCCGTGTCTTGCTCAACTTTGCGTCTTACTAGGTATACCAAAAAAACCAAACCCATTCCCATGGAGTTAGTTTCGACTCATAGCAACCCCATAGGGACAGAGTAGGACTGCCCCATAGAGTTTCTAAGGAGTGGCTGGTGGATTTGAACTGCCAGCTTTTTGGTTGGCAGCCGAGCTCTTAACCACTGCACCACTAGGGCTCCCTTACAAGCTGTATAGCACAGTATCTTGTACATGGTAAGTGTTCGTGAACATTTAAGCTAAATTCATTCATAGATCTTTATTGAGTGCCTGTTATATGTCAGCGCTGTTCTAGACACTGGGGATGCATCAACAATCGTTAATTCACAGAACGTCAGACTTGATTTTATCCTCTGCTTTTCTTTCTCCTTCATCCTCTACCATGACCAAGGGTTCTTTTTTTTTTTTAAACTTTTTATTTTATTTTATTGTTGTACTTTAAGTGAAAGTTTACAGTTTAAGTTAGTCTCTCATACAAAATTTATACATACGTGGTTATGTGACCCTGATTGCTCTCCCTGTACTGTGACAGCACACTCCTCCTTTCCAC